AGACAGACAGACAGACAGACAGACAGACAGACAGACAGACAGACAGACAGACAGAGAAAGTGAGTGTCTACATATTACGCACACAGACAAAAAATAAACCCCACACAAACGATCACACACACAAACAACGGACACCTTTGACACTCTCTATTCTTCCATCCGACCCATCCCCTATCCTCTCTTTGAATCGGGCTCTCTCTGTGGTAAGCACCAAAATGTCGAAACCCAGGGTGTGTGAGCGGCACGAATGGCTAGCTGTATTGATTACGTGAGCAAGGGATACTTTAGAGAGAAACAGTTGCACGTGCGAGGTACAGTATTATTATAATACTCGTGATGGCGAGGACATCAGCGTGTGCGCGTGCATGTGCGTGTGCTTATGCGTGTAGGGTATGCTCATGTGTGCGTGTGCTTGTGTGTGCGTGTGATTGCCAGACGGTGCGCGCAGTGCGCTGGTTCAATGGAGCCACTGGGAGTCTTTACTTAAGGTATGACGGACAGATTCGTCGATACTTGGCAAACCTATTTAAGGTGAGATACAGCATTTACGTTTACTCTTTACTGTTTTATTACATGTATTATCACGTTCATCTTTAGCTTTATATATGGCTTACTTTCCTTTGAGTCCTTCCAAGAAAGCAGGGTTTTTTTCATTTTCCTATTTTATTTTTGTTGTTGTTACTTTTTAAAAATTACTTCCTGTATTTATTTAATCTACTTCTTTTAAAAGCATTCTTTTTCTTTTTTGAGGTGGGGTGGGGGGGGGGGTTTAATTGTTACGCTGCTTTTTTGTGACTGAGTTGACCCAACCTGTCAGTTCTGCCTCTTTAAGGTACATTTAAAAAGCAAAACTGAATACACCCTTATGGTTGGGTGGTAAGAGGAAAACCCCAGGGGCCTTTAAAACTTGCTCTTTCTCCGTCCTTGCTTTCGATCTGTTGCCGCATGCCACATCCCACAGTGGTTCTCCATGGCCTTATTATCTTGTCGAAGAGGGTCATTATACAGCTTTACCAAACATTTCGAAACGGTAAGGAGAAAAGGGGGAAAGGGGGGTTGAGGGGGGAGGGGGCAAATGTGAATTCTCCATAACAACTAATACCATCGAAAGAGCTCTATATAATGTTTGTCCTAGGATGCATGTGGACGCTCATGGAGCGATGGAATGCATGGGAGCACGCAGGGTGGGGGGGGGGCAGCTTTTCGTCTGTTTGATCTTTTTTGTTTTGTTCTGTTTTGTTTTGTTTCGTTTTTACCCACTCTTATTGACAGGTTATGGATCCTTTTAATTTGAATACACAATCTGATCTGTTGAGAGTTCTGACAGGCAGAAACAAAATCGAAAACTGATTCGCTAATGGTTTATTAAGAAAAGGCCTGAGCTTTCAAGCCAACAGGGCAAAAACGCAATAAGCTGCCTCCTATAAAGTGAGAGTATGGAAATAGATTAGACAGAAAAAAGATTATGTAAACTGAGCCTTCTTGCAGCAGGAGAGATTAAAAAGTAATGTGGTTTAGATAAAAATGAAAGTGAACACAGTGTTACAGCCAGAAACAAGAAGAACAGCTCAGAGATATGAAGATACATTGTTTACCCTTGCCTGTCAACATGGCCTTTTTATATAACAACTACCCACAGTTATAATTTAACAAAATAGCTCCCAACTCCCACCCATTTTTGACACTATGATATGAAAGCATAGAAACACATGAAAGTACACACATACTCTCTCTCTCTCTCTCTCTCTCTCTCTCTCTCTC